GGTTTCTAGTTTTTCTTAATAAGTATCCGCTAATTTATAAACTAATACTTAGTCCGTTACTCTATTATTATTATTATAAACTATAATAAGTAAATAAAAGCTATACTAAACGAGTAGTTCCTAGACATTTAATAATAACTCTATATTTATTATATTAACTTTAATATTATATTTAGGACTAAATAGAAGTAAGTTAAGGACCGTAGCTATAATAATAATAATAATAAGTTTAATAACGAGGGATATTAATTATTAATATAAGTAATAGCTATGCTAAGTAATAAGGATAAGGCTTATATTAATATACTTATTAATAAGCCCCCCCTTTATATATATTATAGGGTCCTTATAATATAAAAGCTTATTATTTTTACTAAGACTAAGTATATTTTTAAAAAAGCTTAAACTAAGCTCTATAAAGAGTTTAATAACTAACGCCTAATTTTTTAATATTTCTACGTAATATACTTATTTTTAAGAGTATAGTAAGCCCGTTATTTTATTTAAAAATATTAGAACTTTAGTACTTATATTATTTTTAATACTAGGTTAAGTAATAATAATATTAAGGGTTATTTTTTAAATAATTTTAGTTATTTATATTAACTTATTAACGTTATATAGAATATAATTAGTAATTAAGAGCTACGCTTTTACTAAGCTTATATAGAGAATAAGGTACTTATAGGCTAGGAGTATATAAGTACTCGCTTTAAATACTTAAGTAAACTTTAAATAATACTTTTTTTAAAATATTTATTTTAATTAAAATATAAGGCCGGCTTATAAAGAAAGTAATATTATTTAATAAGAGGCTATTTTTAAACCCCCTCGAATCTTATAATTTAGATTATACTATTTTAATTAAGCTAAGTATCTTATATTATTATAAAATCTATTTTAAAATATTAGATTTAGTTATTTTTAATAAGTAGGAAATATACCCTTAGTAACGTTTTTAAAAAACGTTTTTTTTAAATTTATACTACCAAATCTTTAATTTTAAAATTATTATATCCCTTTATAATAAGCTAAAGAATATAGTATAGCCTATTTTATTATAACTAGCTTTATTTAAAAAAGGCCGGTTAGCTAGTTAAGCTTATATTATTTATAATAATTAAGGTATTAATAATAAAAAGCGAGGCTGCTTATTTAAGAATAAGAATAAGTTAACGCTAGCTAGGTTTATAAAAAAGATAAGTTAGCTAAGTTAAAGCTAAATATTAAGCTTATTTTAATAATAAATAAGGAGTTAGTTTAGCGTTTTTAATAAGGGGAGGATAATAGGGAATTATATAAATAAACGGCTAATATAGCTTAGTATTTAGAGGAAACGGAGTTAGTAAAAAGTAGTTTATAATAATAATAAATTATTATAACTATATTAAAAGAGGTAGTTAAGTAGGCGTTACTATAATTTACTTTTTATATATTTTAAGTATATAGTAAAAAAAAGCCTTACCTGTTTAAAATTTATAAAAACTTAGATTATTAGCTTATTTAAGATTTATAAATTTTAAATAAGTAATATAGTAGTTTTAAATAAGTACGTAGGTTATAGTAGTATTTTTATTTTTAGAAATCTTAAACTAGAGCTTAGGTTAGAGACGATAGTAGGAATAGCTATATTAATATAGTTACCCTTACTACTTTTATAAGGAGGTACTATTTTTTTAAACTAATTAAAAAGTAAAATAGCGACGCCCGTATAAGAGCGACGCCCGTATATTAATTTACGACGCCCGTATATTAATTCCTATTTAAATAGAGATTGATTATAAAATACTTTTTAATATTAATAATACTAACTTTAAAAATAATAATAACGAACTATAATATAAATATATTTATTTATTTAAAAATAACTAAACTATTTAGTTTTATAAAACTAAAGAACGTAAAAAGGTTATAATAACCCCTTATATAAATAAAAATTACTCTCTACTTAACCCCAAAAACCCTTTTTATAAGGAATTGTTTTAAGTAGAATACTTAAATAATAAATATTTTCGTTATTTTATTTGTTTTTTTTATTTCTACCTTTGCTGGCTGCTCGGGCGATTCTCGATGTCGTTTATACGGTATTAATATACGGTATCAGTGGATACTCATACTATCTCGCTAGACTATTTTTTTAGATTTTCTAACTTTTTAACTTTCCCTCCTGTAAAGTTCATAACTACGGATTATTGACGGCGATAATGGGCGCTACTACCTTGTGAGCCCGCGCACCTAGCTGAGTTAGCTACCCTTCCAGGTGATAGCAGCTCACATTTCGTTATTTTATATATAAATAAAATAGTTATTTTTATTTACGAAAACGTAATAATAAACTTATTAAGGATATTTATATAAAAGACTAACTACTTAGTTAGATATTACTAAGCTTTAATAATAATAATAAAGTAATATTTAACTTAGACCCTAACTTCTTTATAAAGTGCCTTAATAGTAAATATATAGATTAAAAAGACTATAAATATAACTAATATTAAATTTATTATATTAAAAAAGCTAAGGTATAAAGGGAATATTAAGAGAGATATAAATAAAAGAACTATTTAAAGAAATAAATAATAAAAAACTAAAAAAACTAATTATAAAAAAATAATAAAAGGCGAAAATAGAAAAAAAGTTCTTATATATAACTAAATAACGTAACGACGTATATTTACGAGTTAATTTTAATATTTATAAACGAGGACTAAACGCTATTATTAATAATAGTATATAAAAAACTTATATTTTACTAAGAATAGTAAATAAACTTAATTTACTATAAGTATAGAAAAATAACTTATATTAACTATAAATAGTAAAAGGAGAACGAGTTAATTATAATTATAAATATATTAATTAAAAAACCGTATACCTCTTAATATATATTAATAACTAATAAAAATAATTATAATATAATATTATAAAAATTAAAAATATTAATATTATTTTAAAAATCTCGTAATTACGAAAATATAATTTATAAATAAATTAGATTACTTACTAGGTCCTTTAGGAAAATCTAGTTACTAAATAATTTAAAAAAAAAAAAGTTTAAACGGATTTCTAAGAACTCCTAAAGAACGAAAATAAATATAATATATAACTTTTATTAAAATAATAAAAAGCTTTAGGAAGTTTATAATTAATATTAACGATTAAGGATCGTAATAATTTTAAATTATACCTAAGGAGTACTAAATATATATAAAACTATTTATAAAACCTAAAAAAATAGGATTATTAAAATATAATAATTAGAATATAAAAATTGAATTTAAAAAAAAAACGTAACTTAAGTTCTTTTTAATATACTTAATAAATTAAAAAGAATAGAAATATTTTAATAAATATATCGATAAGAAACTTAAAAAAGGATATATTTAATTATTAAATTTTTTTATAGAATTACCCCTATTTTTTATATTAAAAAAGGGGGTAAAAAAATAAAAACTTATTATTAATTATAAAAGACTTAACGAAATTATAAAAAAGAATTACTATCCCTTATTACTTATTACTAAGCTTAGAGATCTATTTTATAAAACTAACTAATTTATTATTATAAATTTTAAAAAAGTATTTAATTAAATTCGGATTAAAAAAAGAGATAAATAAAAAATAGTATTTTAAACTTATAAAGGACTTTTTAAGTACTTCGTTATACTTTTTAAACTTATTAATATTCTAATAACTTTCTAAATAATAGTTAACTACGTACTCCGGGAGTACGTTAATATTTTTATTATTATTTATATTAATAATATTCTTATTTTCTCTTTTAACTTTAAAATATATAAAAAATATATTTATATAGTATTTTAAATGCTCTAAAACGCTTAACTATATACCGAACTTTCTAAATATAAGTTTTATATATAAAAAGTAAACTTTTTTAAATATACTATTATATTAAAATAAATTTATATATAAGTATTAAAAATAGAAGTAGTTAAGGACTAGCCTATATTATAAAACGTTAAAAACGTATAAGGATTCTTAGGATTTATTAACTTTTATTAATAATTTTTTAAAAACTATATTAATATAATTAAACTTTTTAATAATTTAATATAAAAGAATAACCTATTTATTTAGGACCCTAAGTATAAAAAAGTATTTATTAAAGTTAAGAATATAGTCGTTTTTAAACTAGTTATTATAATCTTAAACCCCTAAAAACTTTTTAAAATTAAAACTAATACTTTAGACTTTATTATAAGAGCGGTCTTAAGATAATAAAATAAATAAGGGAAGCTTTATTTATATTATTTCTATTTTAAAGTATTTTATAAAATAGAATTAAATTAGTAAATTTATAATAAAGAATTAATAATAACTATTAAAATATTTTAAAAATGAGATTATAGTTATTTAGAACTAAATACGAAGTTATAGTTTATATAAACTATAAAAACTTTATAAACTTTATAATAAATAAAAACTTAAATAAACGATAAGTTAAATAGAGCGAATTCTTATTTAAGTATAATTTTTAAATTATTTATTAAAAAAGTTTAGAAAATAATAAAGTAAACGTTCTTAATAAAAGACCGAATTATAAAATCGTAGTCCCTAAAGAGATATAAATTATTTTTAAATAAAAAAAGGACGGTAGCTTTATACTAATTATAAAACTCTTTATAATAGTTAAAAAGATTAATACTAGCTCGATTAAAAAAATAATCCCTAAGTTTATTATAGAAATTTATAGTATATTAATATATAGTTATTAAAAAATTATTAAAATATAAAAACGGATTTATTAATATTATAATAAATCCGCTATACGTACTAAAATTATAAAAGTAATTAAGAATTACGTAATTTATAAAAAAAGTAAAAATAGCTTATATAAACCTTATAACGAGCTATAATTATTATAATTATTAATAAAAATATAGTAATTAATTATATAGGATTTTATTATTAAATTACTAAAGTTTAAAGAACTATTTATTAAAGTATAGTATAATAGTATTTTAGTTATAGTTAATTAGCTTATTAAGTTCGTATATTTTATTCTTTATAAAAAATTAAATCCTATAAAAGACTTAGTATATATATTTATTAAGACTATACTCTCGAACTATAGTTTACTAAAAAAAAATTATTTTAAATAAAGATAAGCTATTTATTTTAAAATTTTAAAAATCTCTAATTTTATAACTTAGTATAGATTATAAATTATTAATATTATTTTATTTATAAACCGATAGATAAATAGAAAGAATTAATTAAATCCTTAAAATATACTTTTATTATTATATAAACTACGACTAGGATAATTAAATAGTACTTTTATTAATAACCTAGTTCGTATATAATAATATAGTTAATAAAAGTATAAAAAAATCTCCGTTTTATTTTAATTATAGATTCTAATTAATAATATATAAAAAAGTATAATAAGGACTATAAGCTATAAAAGTTATAATAAATATAAATAAACTTAAGGAGATTTATAAATAAATATTAATAAACCTCGAGTTCGTATAATAATATATAAAAAAAACCGTAAATAAATTAAGGATTAGAAAACTATTTTTAAAAAAAGCAGATAATACTTATTTCTTTTATTATAATATTAAAATAAAATAATTAAGTAATAAATTAAATTATAAAAAACTTAGACCTTTTGAAATTATTAAGAAAGTCTTATTAATTAATTACGAACTAAAATTATTAAATATAATATAATACTATCCCGTTTTTTATATTTTATTACTCGAACTTATATTAAGAGGATTATATATAAAAAATTATATTATTATTAAACTAAATTAATTAAAATATAAAGTTGAAAGAATTATTAATTATAAAGTTAAGAATAAAATATAAAAATTCCTTATTAAATAAAAGGGCTATAAATATAAAAGAAATATATAAGAACTTATTACGAACTTCTAAAATTCTTAAGAATCCTTTTTAAAATACTAAAATTAAAATTAAAACTAGAACTCTTAGCTATTATAATATCCTATTTAATTACCCTGAAAGTATTATTAAATTATATTTCTTATATAATAACTAACTTATCCTCGTTAATAATATTAAAAAAATTAAGAATTACTTTTTTTTCTTAAATACTATCTTTTTTTTTTAAAAAAACGATTTAATTTTAATAAAAACTAATCTATTTTAGCTTATACGTAATATAAAGCTTTTACTTATTTTTAAAAAAAAAGCTCTTCTACCCTTTTTTTATATTTTAAACTATTAGCTTTAAATAAAAAACGATTTATTATAAGTATAATTAATATAAAAAGTATTAATAAGAAAAGAAAAACTTACGATTATATATAATATTAATAATTATATTATAAGAACGATTACGACATATATACTTATAATACCTTAATTTACCTTTTAATATCTTATATTTTCGCCCTAATAAATAATAGAATAAGTAAAATATTATAATTTCGAATCCTCGCTCTTTAATTTTAAAAATAAGCTTTAGTTAACGATATATTAAAAATTTAATAAATATCTTAGTATTTTTAAAAAAAATTATTTAACGAGCCCTAACTTAGGCTATAATAACTTACTTATAGGTTTATAAAAATAAAACTTTTAAAAAAGAGACCTAATATTATAATTTAATATATATAACTAAAACTAGGGCCCGCCTTATAGGCTTATAGTAGCTATAATATATTATATATATAAAAGTACGGAATATAAAGTAGCTTTTATAAAATAGAAAAACTATAAATAAATTATATATAAATAAGAAGTAATAATTACGTAATAAAATAATTATTATAATTACTCTAAATAAGTACTTATTAATATTTATTAAGTAATTACTTAAATAAATAAAAGTAATTATAATAAAGAATATATTTATAAATAAACTTATATATAGTATAAACTTAAGCTAAGCTTAAAAATAGACTTTTATAGCTCTTTAGTAATTAACTTAATATTAAATCTTATAATCACTTTTAGCTATTTTTATTAAGAACCCTTTTTAATAAAATTATAATTAATTACCGAAGCCTTATTTATTTTACGATTTATAAATATAGCTTTAAAAAAGCTATTTACGACTATAATACTATTTACTTAGTACTTATAGCCTTAACTTTTATTAATATACTTATTACGACTAGCTAGTTATAATAGTTTATATAATTAAATATTTTAAAAAGCGCTAATAATAATAAAAATAATATATTAATTATTTATATTTATAATCCGAGGTTATTAAAAATATAATTTATTAATTTTATTTATAATCTTAATAATCCTATATTAATCTATTTATTTTAAATAGAGTTTAAAAAAAAAAAGAGTTATTTTAATAATTAGAGCGTAACCGTCGTTTTAATTAGAGTAATTTAGGCCGTTTTTTTTTAGTTTTAATTATATATATAACTAAAGTTTTAACTAGATATTATATTAAGCTTATAATAATACTAATTAAAATTATTAATAAGTCTAATTAAAAATTAGTTTTATAAGCGCCCTTAGTCAACGTATCCGTATTTTTAAATAAGTTTATTATTAAGTTTCTAAGCTATATTAATTAAAAAAGAATAGTTTAGTTAAATAACTAATTATACTTATTAAAATATTCTATTAGTTCTAATCTTAACTCGTTATTTATTTTATTATATTATTATAGTATTTTATATTTAAGCCCGATTTAGTCTTAAATATCTACGTTTTTCTTTATTTATTTATCTCGTTCGCCTCTTAGGGTCTATTATATCCCTTATTTTATTAAATAAAAAGCCCTTTTTTATATGTTTTTATTTTTATATTTTAATTATTTAGTTACTTTTTTTTAAATTAAAGTCCTATTACTCGTATTCGTTTTAATTATTACGCCGTTTTTTTAATTAATTATTTAAATATTTCTAATTAAATCGGGCTTTTTTTTACTTATTCTTTTATTTAATAAAAAAGAGATTTAAAAAAGGGGAGATTATTAAAAACGTATAGAATATAAAGAACTCTTATAGTATAATACTTTAAAAAAAACTACTAATATTTATAAAAATAATATAAAATACCTTTTTTAATCGGCTTAATATAGCCTTAATTAATAAAATTATAATTACGAAAAAAGAATAATATTAATTAAATTAAAAAGGTAAACTTCTTAATTATTTTATATAGTGGTTTTTTTCTAGCTTTATAAATATAAAAGATCGATCTTAACGGGATTACGCTTTTAAAAGAAATTATATAATATAATATACTTTTTAATTATATAATACGCATAATATATCCTAAGCGCGCGCTTAATATAATATAGTAATTTTAATATAAAAACTACTATTTAATTTGGGATAAGTAAGCTACTTTTTTTAATAGTAGCGCTAGTTAAAAAGGTTAATAATAGAGGTTGGCTATAATAATTAGCTATAATAATTAGCTATAATAGTTAGAAGCGGCTCTTAACTATAGAGGTTCTAAATTTTAATAATAACGTAGAGGTTTTTAAAAAAAGAGCTAAATAAGCTAATTATACTAAAGCTTATAAAAGTTTTTATTATCCTTATCGTTTCTAATATTACCTAAAGCTACTCTCTATTTAAACTAAATAAATTTACTAAATAAATCTACTAAATAAATTTATTAAATAAATTTACTAAACAAATTTACTAAATAAACTTATTAATATATAAACTACTACCTAGATAGCTAATTAAATAACTAGTTAAGAGGTTAGCTAGTTAAAATACTACTTCGATAAGAACTTAAAAATACTCGTTAATAAGTCTACCCCTCTTAAGCTAAGTACCCTTAGCTAGCTCGACGCTATAGTTATTATAATTAATATAAATATACTTAAGGATTAGTAAAATACTTTTTAATAATACGGAATTTAACTAAGTAATATTATAAGCGCTATAAATAGCTAGGCTAATATAGATATTAAGATTTAATATATTAATACTAATTTAGTTATAATAATTATAATAAACGGGCCGGAGGTATATAAAATTAGGATAATAAACTAGTATTTTAAACGGCTCTTATAAAACCCCCTAAGTAATAATAATACTTATATAAAAGAATAAATTATATTAAACCTAGCTATTTATATAGGCTAATATTTAAAAATCCTATACGTATTAAAATAAGTAAAGCTTGCCCTATAAGCGGGTAGCGGAAGGTTAAGAGCTATTAATAAAAGGGAAATAATAGTTAAGTTAGTTAACTATTTTAGTTAGTAATTAGGTATAGAGCGTATTATACCTAGTTTTCTTTAATACGTAATATATAGTACGGCCTCGGCGGATTGCTCTATTAGGGGGCTTAATTATTTTATATTATTACGTTTAAAAGTAAATTATTAAAAAAGCTCTTAGTCCGATTTTAAAAAGTATATATATAATTAAAATAAAAATCCGTATTACTAAGCTCGCTATTTTTAATTGGGGCCCTTTTTTTTATATTTTACTCTAATTAGCCCTCTCGTAAATCCTTATACTTAATTAGCTTTAAAAAAGAACTACTAGGACTAATTCCCCTACCCTATTCTAGTATATACGTCCTAGGTTATTAAGCTAAATATATACGTAATTTCCTTAAGGGTCCTCGTATACGTTTTAAAAGTTATTAATTTATTAAAAGTCTTATATATATATTAACCTTATATAAAATTAAGTCTAGACTTAACTATAATTAAAAAGTTAAGTATAGCGATTTTTTTATTAATTTTTAAAATATTATATATTTTAATTTAGAAATAAGTAAACTACTACTTTTTATATTAATATTAGGGGTTAATTCCGGTCCTTATTTTATTAAAAGCTTATTAATATTTTTTTAAACTATATTCCTTATTATTAGTTCGGGAGGTATAAATTCCTATTTTAATTATTTAATAATTTATTATATACTAAACTTAGTACCGTTTTTAATAGTTTTTTAAAATACGTATTTATAAATAATAATATTAATTAATTTTATTAATTACTAAGCGAGGAGTTTAATATACGTATTAATAATATTATATTTATAAGTTTTGAATTATTTATATTTAGTATTAAGCTTTTATTATTTTTAAATACTCTTAAGTATATAGATTCTTTTTATAAATATAGTATAGAAATAGATTTATTTACGTAAAATAGGTAGTATAACTAGTTTTATAAAAAAAAACCTAGCTTAGTCCTATAGGTTACTTATATTTAAAAAAGTTAAAAAGGTTATATTAAGAATTAAGTTTAAAAGTTATTAATAAAGGATTTTCTAGTTTTTTTAGTCGTTTTTAAACGCTTTATAACGTACTTAATAAGTTTATAATTTTTTTTTATTATAACTTATAACTAAGTATCCGAATTTAAAAAGTAAAATAAGCGCTATAAAAAGGTTAAAGAGTACGTTAGAATTTAGAGCGTTTAAGTTAACGTATTTTTAAACCCTAACGCTTTTATTTATAATACGAAATATATTAAACTATTTAATTTAATTATTATAACTAGTTAATTTAGTTTAAATTAAAATAAGTATAAGTATATTAATTATTTTAAAAAAATTATAAAAATTATATTAATAAGTATTTTATTATAATATAAGGTTTTAATTAAGAACTAGGCTTATAATTATTATAAGTTATAATATATAGTAATAGGTATATAGAGTATAATAAAAGTAGCTTAATTTATTAAAATAAAAATAAATAAAAGGAAAAGGTTTATATATATAATATCTAAAATAGATACGTAATTTAGTACGTAACGGGTACTTCGTGAGATGCGGTTACTATCCCTGTTACGTAATATAAATTGGTTCAGCCTGTTGCCTTTCGTTTTCCTCCCTCCCTCTTTCTTCTTCTTCCTTTCATAATCACCTTTCCTTCCATCAGCCGGGGGAGAACGAGGCAGCGGTGCCTTCCTTTTCAGCATTTTCTTTCTTCTTTCTCGTTTTGCTTCGCGCGAGCTTGGAGTTCGAGCAGTGTCTGGGACACGCTTCGTTTGGATACAGAACGCGTAAGAAGAGACGCGTCAGGTAAGACACGATGAGTTCACCTCACGTAACCTTAGACTTCGAAGCGCTGCGCAGCCAGGTCGCCAGCATCGTGGTTAAGGTCGCGAAGTCGCGGCCCGCGGTGATCGCGGGAGAGAACAGCTGGTTCCGCGCGCGCCGCATCAACGGCATCTTGTTGGTGATCGAAATCGATGAAGCCGGGGGCTACGTGTACAGTAAGTTCAGGCATTCGTGCCGTGGGCGTGTTGAGAACGCGTGCGTTGGCTGATTTTGTGGGGAAGGGGAGATGGTGACTGCAATCGGCAACGAAGATCGTGTGGACTTCTTGGTGAACGTCGAGCGGCGTGAGGCCGATCAGTCGAATGAACAGCATGATGAAGATGTAATCATGACTGATGCCCCGCCGATTCAACCGGCCGAGGGGGGAATTGTGTTTACTAAAATCTATTCGGGAGGAATAGAATCACTCACTAGAGAATTGAATGAATTGACGATTGACGATTCAGACGGAATGGAAAAAATCACCTGCGGAGTTGCGCAATTGAGTATTGCCCCTCACCGAACGTTCTGCGTTGAGAACACCCAAGTGGGAGAGACATCTGAGGATGTTCAGATGGCCAACAGTGACTGGTAAGTCGCTGAGACCCGCGTCGGTGACGCGTGAATGTTGCATCGGGAGATGAACAATGCCCTCGGGGGAGGGAGGGAGGGGTGGCAGCCAGCGTTGCGTGGTACGATGCGGAACGCGTGAGCTTGAAAACGGCGCTTGGAGCGGAAAAGCGGAGATTCCGGCTGAGTTGCAGTCGAGAATAGGCGAGTTCGGGGGAGGAGAGACGGATGAAGGACGGGAATTAGGTGAAAATTGGTGAAGATGGGCGCGTTATGAGTGCTATAGTAGTGGCAACCAAACTGAATGATCTTATGGACTTGATTGAACTGCTTACCTGCTGTTGGAGAGTGTTGTACTAATGGACCGCCGCTGTGACCCAACGTTGATACCTTACTGGACACTGCTTGAAAGAGAAGCCAGGCCCAAAGCCCACCCTGCCTTCTGTGAAATGTTTGCCGTAATAGCTAGCACCCCGCTGCCATTCTCTTCCGGACGCCATTCCGACCCCGCGTTCCCCACCCAAACTCGCCGTCCACAGACCACCGGCCCCCGCCTCCGATCCGCTCGTCACCGACCCGGACAACCCGCCTCCACAATCCACCGTAACACCGCCGGCCGGCCCCCATCGTGAAAAATCTGCATCCAAATCCGCGGAAACTCTTTGCAGAATTTTTCATAATCTCCACGACTAATCCTCTCTCGCAGCAGCCCCGCAAACCCGTCTCCTCTCTTTCATCAACTCCAATCTTGCCTGACCTCCCATCAAGCAGTTCCACTTGGATCTTCTTCCAAGGCCGGTTGGCCCAATGGCAAGGCGTCTGACTACGATCCCCTTCACCCCTCCAATCGAGAGTTGAGAGATTCGTGTAATCAGGAGATTCTGGGTTCGACCCCCAGGCTGGTCAATATCTTTTGCTCATCCGGGTTCCCCAACCCCTTCTTTTCACCGCCTCTGCCACCCTGAGGGTCCTTAGCCATCTATCCGTCGGAGGCAGACATGAACATCTGTCTCTATGGCTCAGTCGGTAGAGCGTTGGTCTCATATCAAATACATATGACTCTAGAACATCTAGGGATATCCAAAGGTCGCAAGTTCGAGCCTTGCTAGGGACATTATCTTTTGTCGGATGTTGCCATGGCTGCCTTTTTGCACATCGGCTGATTTGACGTCGTGGGTTGGTGAGTCGGACTTCTGCTTCAGTCAATAGCGAACAAGAACATGCTCAGGCACGGCGCGAATGACTCAAATATGAAAGACGTGTTGATAAAATGCCATTTCTTCATTAGTACTAAGTTCGTCGTCCAAGTGGACGGATTGCACTTCTCTTGGGGTATCCAGTCTCTTCCAACGTCTCCTCTGAGACTCTCTCCACTGACTCACACTCCTACACAATTATGCTCCACATTAGGCGTGGATAGCCTGCTGGACCTGAGGGTACACGCGAACCATCTCATCGTACAGTTGAGGGTGATCGCGCATGAGAACCTGGGGGTCCCAAGCAGAGGCCACGAAAATGGTATCGATACCACTCGAGATGGGCGTGGTGAAGACGTTGGCGATCTGCAAGCCGATGAGGAAGGAGAAGGCCACGACAACAGGGGTGTAGTTGCCGCCCTGGTTGTAGGCGGGGTTGGTGAAGACCATGTACAGATAGGCAAGGAAAGCGCAAGCATAACCGATGAACGTGGCGCCGAAGGAGAGAACGGGGCCGATGAGGCATTCCTGGGATATATGAGTCTACTGATGCGAGAAAAAGGAGGCTTTAAGGAAATACTCACATTGACAAGGGCGTCGATGCCGCGATCCTTAATCATCTTCCAGGTGTCCTTGGCTGCGGGGATGTAGGCCTTGCCGTAGAGGGCAATGTGCGAGAAGGCATATCGGTTGAGGAACGTCACGGCCCAGTCGAGCAGAGAGATGAGGCAGCTCAAGATGCAGAATAGCACGTACGAAACAATGTTGCCGTCCGCGGCCGACTGCTGTTGGGCGACGGAACACAGGTGGCGGAGGAGGTTGATAATGGCGACGATTAAGCTACCGAAGCTGATGGAGCCGAAGCTGTAGGTCAGAGAGCGCTTGAGCGCGCCGCGAGTCGCGCCCTTAGGGAAGTTGTTGACGCAGAAGTACCACGAGCCGTAGACCCCTGAAATGGTGACGTGAATCACGTTCTTGAGCACCTCCGAGATCCAGTACATGGCAAAGGTGATGAAGACGATCAGTCCAATAACCTTGCCCTGGCTGCACTGGCCACTCCTGCACTGAGGGTTGTTCTGCGACGGCTGGTACTTGGAGTAGGTCGCGACAAGGGTGACGGAGTACCAAGCCGCGAATGCGGCACCGAGCATGCCGCCCAGGAAGGAGACAAGGTAGACGTGGCCGTACTTCTTGGAGACCTGGATCGAAGTCTTGAGCATCAGAGCGGAGAAGGGGATGCGGGGGATCCAGCTGATGAAGGCGAAGACGAGGAAGACGCCAAAGATGAGGAAGACAATCCCGCCCGAGTAGTACTTGCGCGAGAGCATGTAGATTGCGGTGACGAGGGCGAAGACGATGTTGAGGATGCCCGTGACCCAGATGAAGGCCTTGGGGAAGAGGCGCGCCATCCAGACGTACGCATAGCTTAGAACGATTGCGACCGCGAGAACGAAGGCGAAGAGGACGATTGTGTTCGTGCTGAGGCCGAAGGTGTTACCTCCATCGTAGATGCCGCCGCCATTGAGGCCCTTTGTCGCAGAGTAGCCGGATATCGTCAGGCCTGAGACGGCCGCGAAGCCAAGGAAGACGGCAAGGAACTGCACAGAGTTATTAGCAATTGAATGCCATCGCATTGACGCGGCGTCGGAGGTGTCGCCGCGACAGGATATATCTTACCAGAACAGCAGCCCAGAGGTCGTTCCACTTGGGCTTCTCAATCTTGAATGCTTCCTCAAAAGTGTACTTCTCGGGATCGTAGCCCTGGGGCGGCGCATTGTATCCGTAGCCGTTGCTCCCATTATCGAAGCCCTGCTGAGGAGGCGGCGGAGGGGCGTAGCCTTGCTGGTAACCGCCCTGCTGGTAGTTTTGTTGCTGATTGTAGTCTTGCTGGTATCCATTATTGTACTGCTGGGTATACTTTTGATCGTAGGGAGGCTGCTGTTGTTGCTGCTGGCCACCGTAGTAGCCAGCAGACTCGCCGTAGGGTTGCGACATTGCTTCGACGACGATGCAATTGACCTCGTTTGTCGGTCGTGGAAATGTCAGCCTGGGTGGACGATGGACGAATGGTGTGGTGATTGCTGTCCAGAAAGCAAGCTCTTGGCGAAGTGAGGTAGGTTGGAAGAAAACAAAACACAGCACTGGGTGATTAGAAAGGGTCTCAGTCTCAGATGTGGTTGGAATGCAAATTCAATGACGGAGCTATTGAATCAACTAATAACGGGAGGAGCAGCCACCGCAGGCCGCTCTTTTCCTCTTTGGTCCCTCTTTCTGCCCATCTCCCTCGCTCGTCTGTGTACCATATTCAAGGTACCTTGATTATTATTCAGGTACCTGTGCGTGTGCGTTTTGCGCGGACTGTTCACTGGCGTAGCGCAAGCAGGAACAATTGGAATCAATCAGTTGGTTCTCCAAAAGGCCTCCCACCTACCTAAGGTACCATGCCTGCCCTGGATCAAACCATCATCGCACCTTGTTCGTAGAGAAACACCCAAACCCAAAAGGCCCCAACTGGAATCCATAAAGTAAGTTTAAAAGCCAATCCAGTTTAGCTCCGACCCGTGCGCCGTGCATAGTAACGTCATTGGGCAGGAACATCGAGACCTTGAATTTGAATCGGCCATCGTCACAGGGATTGGCAGCTTCCCTCAGCTGCGCAGGGGTTACGCGTCGATGTGCCGAGCGTCACGTGCCAAGGCTTGTCTGGGCCTTCCCGGTTCTTGGCGGGCCCCCAATCTTTCGAGAGTGCTTATGTAACTCTTTCTTCACCTAATGCGGGAAGGTACCTTAATTCCCCAAAGTTCGCGTTTTCTCTTCATATTTCCTGGTACCAAATCATCGATGGACATGGGACGAACTAATGCTGTCTCAGTATTCTCACCAAGGTACAGAAAATTAGCGATAGCTCGACGGTTGACAGGCGATGAGTTGGTGTTGTTGTGCGACATTCCCGCAGCAACAAGGCACAATGTGTAAGGTACCTTATGTCATTGTCGAATCTGGTGACTGAACAGCTCATGACTGAGACAACTCCTCGGGTATCGGCACCGTGGAAACACCCCACTTCGAAGCTCGCAGCCACTCAATTCACTCGAGGCCCTGGGCCAAGCGAGACGTCGGCCCAGAATCTTCACGCCTTGGTGGCCCCCAAAACAAGGTCCCGCGACTTGCAGGGACCCCGTTGAATAAACACCAAGCTCGCTGCTTGAGCCTAGGCCCTCGACAGACTGTTGGCAGCCTGTGACCTTTCCCATTCATTCGTTGCCGGCTACCTGTAGTGAGTTACTATTGAATGCGACTGATGGACCTCGAAATCTTAGGTAAGCTGTTGAGGTAGGTAGCTTACTATCCAGGTATCGTGCCTACTCGCAATGCGCAGAAAAATAGAGCTATCTACCTCGTCTGCGTCTACCTTACCTAAGCTAGGTCACATGACGTAGATGATGTTGAGGTTATCGCGACGTATCACCTCCCCTACCGAAGTGCGCAGGTATGAAGAAGTGAAGCACGATTTACAAAAGGGCTGTGCATATTTTGGCTTCTCTGCTTCTTATGCGTAAGACTTGGTTACCGTGAGCTATTTAATCTATGGACACCTATCAATCATGCCGTAACATCTTCTGCCCGCCCCCGTGCCTCATTCGATGGCACCGATCTTATGCAAGAGCATCCCTTCTTCTACACCGAGACACCTCATACCATCAATATTGTTCGTCTTGTATCTTGCTTCATAGCTGATGTCATTATCTGGCTCGAACGGCTCCTGTCTTCGTATGTCTCGGTGAGACGTTCGCAACCTGAAAATCCGGCCTTCCAAGCACCCCCTTTATCCTGATCTACCCTGAAAGTCAGGATCCGCTCAAAAACTTCATACAGTAGGCCGACACATTACTTCTCATTTGCGCTCTCTTGAGATTGATAATACGAGTAGAGAATGTCAGGCTGTAGGTTGCCGCCGCCGCCAAGTCTGGCAAGGAGCCAATAGCTTCGGATAGCGAATACGACTATCCCAGCGCCTCGCTCCAGAATCATTGAGAGAGCACAAATTGACCTCTATGCGAATGCGAGGCTGACGATATTTAGTCCGAGGAACGAAAATGTGGACGGCGGTGGTGTGGCTGAGTTCCCGCGCAGAAAGTCAACACCGCGGAAATGAGTTGGCAATCAAATATAGTGTTGGCACGCTATGCCAAGATACAGCACTCTCCTGACCACTGCGCCCGCGACTCGTATGATAGATGCTATAGAGAATCTACTTAGATAGCTTAATAGCAATGTTCTTATACATATATAAATGGGAAAGAACTTTAGTAGAATTCCTTTCATGACGGGACACATTTCAATAGCTGTTTCGCTACTACATTCACTTTAGACACCTCCAACATGATCAACTATAAGAAGCTCATTACGGCTCTTCTGGCCAATGCGCTACAGCCTCACCCTGTATTAGGCCAATTCGTAAGTTCCCAGACGTCTCTTCAATATTAAAGCCATAGACATCATGTTCTAACAAATATAGGCTTCTCCGTCGCCCCTAGAAGACACCGGCGTCGTTCTCGAAAGCCAGAACGTCTCTACTCAGTCATTCATCGGACTTCCAGCTCAAGCACAGCCTCTACTAAAGAAGACTCGCTATAGCCCTGACGTAGTTGGCTTCCATCAGGACGGCGGCAATACGAGGACGAACGACTGGGATGGTCCCCTCGGCGTGTTTCCCAACGTCTCCAGCCGGTCTGTTGCCATATCAGCGCAGTACTGGCACAGCGACAACCGACTGACGGCGCGCTCCGTCTGCACGGATGCCGCAGAGCCGTACTTCTGCATCGCAGCCTTTGACCCGGATGCCATGAACATGCTAGGGTCTTGGGCCCCTGAAGGACAGACATTGCTCTCTCCGTACGCCACCGTCGCTGAGGATTCCGTCATCCTGCCCACAATGGAGAGGCACATCTTCGAAGTCGAGAGAGTCGACGATGCGAACGGTACCACGTTCATCCCTCATCGAGACATCGATCTCACTACGACCCTGCCTCAGAACCACGGCGTCGTGAGCAGCTACGTCGACGAGGATCAGAACGTGTGGTTCACGTCCGTTGCGCTCGCGACAACCTCTACTGCCAGTGACTCCTCCATCCTCGGATACGTGACCTCAGACGGAATGATCCGGACTATCACCCTCGACGGCCAGAGAATCGAAAACTCAATCGCCGTCAGCGGGAAGACAGTCTACCTCAACACCGGTCCCCTCGCATCAGATACCAACAGGAGCAGCACCGGCCACATGTTCGCCTTCAGACCAAGCGAAAGCGACGGAAAAATCACCGCGCTGTGGAACGAGACATATGACGCCGGTACCGCTGCTAAGCCAGGCGGCTTCTCGCAGGGTTCGGGGTCAACCCCGTCCCTAGTCGGTGACAAGTACGTCGCCATCACGGATAACGCCGACGCGCAAGTGAAGCTCTTGATCTACCGCCAAGTCACTGCTTCAGCTGAAAGTCTCGCGGAAGGCGAGCTGCCACTGGTCTGCCAGGTCCCTTTATTCGAATCCGGCGCCAGCGCGAATGAGAATGCCATGGTCGGGTACTTTGACGGGTCGACGTACAGCGTCGTCGTGAATAACAACTACGGGGCCCCGGAACTGCAGGATCTAGGCGAAGGGGCGGATATCAACGGCGAGTTCAACGACTTTGCGCCCCTGGCACCTGGAATTACGCGGGTGGACATTACGCCTGAGGGTAAGTGTGAGGTCAGGTGGGCTTTGGAGGTCCGCTCGACGAGCGTTCTTAGTCTCTCGACTGCGAATGGTCTCGTGTACTCTTACACGCAGGACGAGGAACTTGCTGGCCAGGGATCGTATGTATGGTACTTCACCGCCATAGACTTCCGGACTGGCGAGATTGTCTGGCGGATTCGGGCCGGAGCTGGGGGTACGTATAACAACAATGTAGCCCCTACGCAGATGTCACCCAATGGAGGGATCTACCAAGTTGTTGCGGGAGGTGTTACGTGGTTGAGGGATGATTAAGAGAGGGCTGCAAGCGAGAGACTCAAGGCAGAGAGTTATCGTTCTGCAAAGAAGCAATCGAAGCGATATTCTCCTGGGCACCTTCTTACCCAGGAACCGTCGAAGGGAGAGACTGATGGCAATCCAGCTCCCGACAAATAGCCAATGCGGCTGGGGTTTGATGGACATCAGCCAGAACCATGGAGCACCCACAATCACGAAAGATCCCAAGGGCCAGGAGAGACAGTGTAGTTGAGAAGCACACGTGCGACTTGGGGATGGAGCCAGTCGCTGGAGCCATGAAGGTCATTGAACTTATGGTATTGATAAGATACTTCGCTTGATACAAGACCGAAGAAGATGAAATGCTTAGCCAAATAATAATCAAAACAGACTTTGCCGCCGCCCAAACCATCAAACCATGAAACCGTATCCCTTGCCTATCTGGAGGCTGCCGTCTTTACCATGTTGTGAACGCCAATGAAACCATATCCCGGTGGATCCTTACACTCAAACAATCTAAATCAACACAGGAGCCAATCCGAAAGACTGCAATGCTCCTACCGCTGCTGGCTCCTCTCCAATCGGCCTCGAGCAGCGTCCACGACGCTTCGGTCCAGTGCCGGCGTGCTTCGCTGCCCGCCCGACATGTCGTCCTCGGCGTTGCCGTCGTCAACCGCGACGAGTTCCCACCTCTTCATTCCGCCGTCCATGCCCGGCCATAGATCCGTGGGGATGAACTCGCCAATATCCTGGCGGAATCCTTCGCGCTCCCGTCGATCATTTTCGACGAGTTTGTCAACGCTATCCATCGCCTTCTTCCATATGTTTGTAATCTTGTCCTCTACCATGCGGCGCCGCTCGACCTCCAGGATCAGGTTATCATAAGCGCCCGCGTACTTTTCGTAAAAGTCTCGAAGGTCGTCCATTTCGCCAAGCTTGTTGTAGATGGTGTATGTCTCATCCTCCCACCGCTGGAGGAACTCGGCCTCGCTCGCAATGTAGCTGGCCATACGAGCGCCCATCTCTTCCAGCGCAGTGAACCCTTGCAGGGTGCCGAGGAACGCCAATTTAATCTGTCCTGTTTGTCCAGTCATGGCTGAAAATTCCTCTTCCATGGTCTGGAGTGTCTTGTTGATTTCCTGGATGACACTCTCGACCTCTGATGCATCGCTAACCACAACATTCAGCATGTCCGCCCGGTCTTTCATCGTTATCGGTTCGAGGTCGGGCATTTGCGACTCTTGGTCAGCGATTACGCCAGACAACGATACACCATCGCCGCCTTGTGACTGCGTCACCTCCGCCGCCCTACGACGAGCAAGAGCCGCGCCGCCCTCTGTCGTCCGCACCGCTGTGACGCACAAGTCAAAGTGTTTAGTCAAGGACGTGAGCAGTTGGGCCATGTCATGTGAACTGTCTACGAGAGAACCGAGAAGCTCGGGTATCGGGTCGTATTGTGACGAGTCGGAGGGCATTCGAGGCAGGGGTGTCGTCGTCATCGTTTTCTTTAGTGCTCGCAGGTCATCGTCGAAGCGAAGGAGATCGCCATCAAAGGATGTTTGGATAGCCTGCAGGTAATTCATTCCGTCAGTCGTCTAGACTATCATAGATAGTGTGGGAAATCCAGAGGCAGCAGGGGTACGTTTACACACCTGCAGCTCGCCGAGGCTCTGCTTCAGAGCCTCGACCATGACGTGGACGCTCTTTTCGTCCACAAAGTCCATCAGATTGCGGCGCTCTTCGCCCGGCGGTCTGAAGACAGCTTCCACAGTTGTATTCTTGAGCATGGCCATAGTCTCCTGCAGCTTCTCATTGGTTGCATCCATGGTCTTGACCAGGTGCTTGAAGTCGCGCTTGCCGGCATCGTAGGTTCTCTTGAGACCACGGCGAACCTTCATCAACAGCGCCAGCTGCTCAGAGATGGCACGTCGCAGAAACTGGGTTTCGGCATACAAGATAACTGCCTCCTCATGGGCCTGGCGTGCATCGGTCGCGATTTCGTTTGCTCGCAAGACGGCCGTCATGGACGAGAGCGAGCGTTTGGCGGCGAGCAGGTGTTCCACCAATGTCTCAACCGGCACATGGTCGGCAGCGGCGGAGGCTGACGTGGAGGGTGCATCACGGCGGTCTCTGGAATGTGAAAGGGACGTGGAGTCTCGGCCGGCCGAGGTGGACGAGGCTGGGCTCCGGCTAGACCTGTGGGACGGGGAATTGGCCATGTTGAATGGGGGAGAAAGAGAGGAAGTGCTTCACGACAAAAAGGTCAGGAGTTGGAGCGATTCATATTTAGGTAGAAAGGAATAGGATTAAGGTGATGATGGGAAGAGCAAAGCCAAGATGCGAAGCCAAGGTGAGCCAGGGGAGGATGAGGATGCAAAGAGGAACAAGGAAGCGATAGAGAGAAGGACGGGAAGACGGTTGGGATGGGACGGGACGGGATAGGACAGGACAGGATGGGATGGTGTAGGCGACGAGGATGATGTCGCGATAAGGTTGGAGCTTCGGTCAGGTGTGTTATCCTTATCGGACCTGGCTTACCTATCTCATCCGCGCACCACCCCCGAGAGTGCCTGCCACCTGCACTGTGAGGACCTCTTTGGCTGCTGCTGCTGCGTTGCTGTTGGCCGTTTGCGGTGCAGCCTTATTTCGCACAGGCCACCAGAGCGGAGACCTCCCCCTGGAACCACAGTCAAATGGCGGCGATGATTGGCTGTGACTCACTTTTATGGGTCTTTCTGCCTGGGGAGCTCCCAGTAGCTCCTTCTCCAACAGTCTTCAGCGCCATTCCAGCAGGAGCGATCCAGATGATCTCACACCTCCCCAGGCACTTGATCATCGCTGCGTCCGGAAAATATCTGGAAATCTGGAATATCCACTGCTCACCTTTGAATGTCACCAATGTCACTTTGCTCACCTTGACTTATCCATTCCCATGTTCACCTTGGAACCAAATCAACGTCACAGTGGTTCATCCTCCCACCACGGCTCAACGTTCTAGAACAGCTAGAAAAGGGGCTGTCAAGGCTGGACCCTGCCGAAGCTACCGACTGAAACAACCTTTTCCACCAACATCCGATGAAACCAGACGCTCTCTGACACTTGTATCAATTCCAGTCCAACGTAAAGCCATCAAAGACGAAGACCGAAGCTGACGTCGCCAGCTCCGAGCTCTACGGAAATCTCGAAGCTCCTGTCATGCCGATCACTTTCTTGACTCTGGCAGCTGTGGAGAATGATCCAATGGCCTGCTTCAATCTTCGGCAGCTACCCGGCGTCGCTCCATGGCACACCATTCTTTACGGACAAAGGCTCGAACCTGATGCGGCCTTGAGGTGCCGTCAATTTGAATTCCTGTCATCCGATGCAGCAAAGCAAAAGCTCCATCAGGAATTCTCGGCGAAACTGACGAAATCGACTCTCTTTCGACCAACGGCGACCAGCACGATGCTCACCTCATCGTCAGCACGATAATATCAGGCACAGACTTGAGGCGAGTGGTTCATCCAGCCACATGTGGCTCGGCCTCAGCACCTTCGGACTGCGCCATCCTCGGCCGGCCCCCTGGTTTGAGACAGGCACATCCCAGTGATGACTCGCCTTCCATGAGCCGTGGCCGGGCAACAATCTGCTCCCGAACACACGTGTCGTAAATTTTCAGAAAAGACAACCTCACAGGCTCATGCGACATCGATCTGTATGCCGCGCGATCTGTCGGGCACTCGATGTTCTCCATGGCCCCGAAATCACCGACTCCGTCCATTTCGCACCTCATCTCGTCTTATCCGATCTTGTCCATCCTCGCGGAATATGTTTCAGCCTTGGACCTTCTTCACATAGCTCAGACGAACCGTAACCACCACGCCCACATCCTCGGTTCCCGTACAATATTCGAGAAGCTGAAAAGCCTCTGTCTCTGCGATGGCCGCGGCTTAGTGCAACGCCAAAACTTTAGCGGACGCTACTGTCCAAACTACTGGACTCTTCTCTGCGGCCTCCCTCCCATGGTTGTCGGGGACGAGGAAATCGAAGTCAAGCTGTACAACATCAAATGCGACGAGGCTGGAGCTCTGCCCTGCCGGAGATGTGGTATCAACGTCTGTGAGGAGTGCAGGTACTACGATCGGCTTCTGTCCGTGGAGGAAAGCTATGTCGAGCCACGCTACAACTGGCGCCCTCTCAACATCATGTGTCTTTGCCGCGATTGTGACTTCCAGCTCGAAGGTGATAATCGGAAGCTACAACTCAGCGACACATGCGATTGCAACCTATGTCTAAGGTGGCTTTGTACCAAATGTGAAGACGCGCAGAGAAAAGAGACCACAGCGTATTACGACACGCGAACTCAGGAAGCGTCGGGCCAAAACAATGTGCTCAACCAACCAGAGGAATGGGGTCCCGATGAAGCCTCAGAGACCAAGCAACTCGAGATATATGGCAAATGGCGCAATGTGAGTTCCTGTCAATTGAGCCACGTGAGTAGTTGCTTTACACCTGCTAATAGCTCTGCCGTCAGTTCTATTGCCCTTGCGGTGCCGGCGTTGCGCAAGAGACCGTCCCAAGATGCACTTGGTGCAAGCGCCGTGTCAAGACCCAGGACGAATGGTTAGATGAAAGAAATCAGCTTGCCCGACTTGATAAACCGGGGGGTTCGTTCTATGTATGTTCAATCTACGTTGGGAGGGTTGGAAGCAATCACTTACAGTCCTTGTAGAACCCGGATCACCCACCCTTCGTCATGGACACCAGCTATAACTATCCTACTCCCTACCCGAGGCTGGGGTACATTCGGCCTGGGGACGATGTCCCGTGATGACTTCATCTTTTTTGCCGAGGTTGCTCTTCCGTTAGAGTACACTGCTCGAGACAATTATGCCCGACGTCGTGTGTGGCCGCCCTCCCGTCATCGGTGGTAATCCATGGCATAGTACCGACAGGCATGACCCGGGAGATATTACTCCAGAATTCATACACCACGCCACTCGGACGAACCAACAGGGGATCACAATCGTCTCCATCTGAAATAGGCCAGCAAGGACGAAGAGCCAATCGAACCGGCTCGCTTATACGTCTTGCTCGCACGCTCTTCGTGAGAGACGTTCTCACAACCGGTGTTTTCCCGATGGCTGCCACCCCACCGCGTTCATCGACGATGATGGAGGAGTATTGTGTGAATTGATACTTACAAACCGACTTCGGACACGAGTTGACCAACTTCATTGCCGAAGAGCTTTCCGTCCCAGGACTCCAACCAGTCCAGAAGTGGAATTCGACCAGTCCCAATCTTACGACGTTCCCCGCATTCTCCCACATGCCGGCATCGCATCGCGCTGGAGATGCGGAGGTGACATGGGAATACTCTCCGGTATTGCTACCTATAATACCTGCCATCTAAAACAACCCCGGTCGTTCCATTCTCCATTCTCCATTCTCCATTCCCCACGATTTCCCCGCGCGCCGAAGAAAATACCGCCGAAGAGCCTCCAGGCTGCATGGAATATCTCCAGACGAACTACTCGTGGCCTGGCTTCGCATCCTTAGCTGGTTGAACCTGCGATGGGACTACCAAAACTAGGCAAACTAGCCACCAACGGCCATCCACACCTTTCTCCCCCGCACCGTTGAGAAATGGCACCAACAACGTGGACCGACATGGAGTTTTTCCCGACTTGGGGAGACATGGGGTTTCCACACAGACTACCACCGTAAAAAGCTTGCCCAAGTGGCCGGCGTCGCATCGTTGATGAGATCATCATTGTGCCTTTTGACTCCTGGAAGACGGATTCCGAGTGGAGGTGGATCTGGCTGCGGCGAAAAGTTGAATGTGATCATGGGAACACCGTCGACTAGGGAGAAGGGCCGACGGCGTGCACAGTACTGCGCAGCGGTGCCGGGGACTAGATGTCGGCCGTCGACTCATCTCAGTCCGAGGAGAAGTTGGACAGATGACGTGGGAAAAGGCACGACAAGAGGGGAAGTTCTTAAGTGGTTGGATTTCCTGCGTACGGGGACCATGGAGCAGAGAGTTTGCAAGCTCAAGCTGTGCTCTTCAATTGGGTCCTCAACATGGTCAACAACTTGATTTCGACGTTGGCGACGGCCCTTGCTGGCCTCACGCTCTGCGCTGCTCAAGATAGCTATACCAATGATACAGATCCTTACTATGGCCAAAGTCCAGCCGTCTACCCCACGCGTCAGTACTGACTTCTCTCTTAACCTGAGCATACCGTGACATGAACCTAACCAAGAACCAAATAGCCGTGGGAAACGGAACGACCAATGAGAAATGGGCCACAGCGTACCAGCGCGCAAAGTCCCTCGCCGCTCAGATGACCGTCGAGGAACTCGCAAACTTCACCCATGGCTGGGATGGCCTCTGCACCGGCAACACAGGCTCCGTTCCTCGTCTCGGCATCGAGCCCATCTGCCTCCAAGACGGCCCCGATGGCGTCCGCGCGCAGGAATTTGTCTCGGCGTTCCCCTCCGGCATCCACCTCGGTGCGACATGGGACAAGAACCTCTCGTATGCCTACGGCGAGGCCCTGGGCGCCGAGTTCCGCGGTAAGGGTATCAACGTCGGCCTTGGACCCGTCGGCGGACCCCTCGGTCGTATCGCGCGCGGCGGCAGAAACTGGGAGGGTCTGAGTAATGATCCGTACCTGTCATCTGTTGGCGTCGGTGGTATTACCAAGGGAATGCAGGATGCTGGAACCATTGCGTGCCCGAAGCACTGGATTCTCAACGAGCAGGAGTACCGCCGGAACCCGAGTGTTGAAGAAGGCGAGGCCGGATCTTCCAATGTTGATGATAGGACGTTGCATGAGCTTTATGTTTTCCCGTTCATGGATGCGTTGAAGGAGGGCGCTGCGTCGGTCATGTGTTCTTACAATCGCGCCAACAACTCGTATGGATGCCAAAACTCCAAGTTGCTCAATGGAGTCCTCAAGACTGAGCTCGGGTTTGAAGGGTTCGTTGTCAGCGACTGTAAGTTTCTCTTCCTTTCTGGTCTCCATGGCCGCTGCTTACGATTACCACAGGGGGCGCACAACACGCCGGCGTGGCAACCGCAAACGCAGGTCTCGACCTGGTCATGCCAAACGAAGCCTTCTGGGGCGCATCCCTCGTCGAGGCAGTCAACAACGGCAGTGTCACCCGTGAACGCGTCGAGGACATGACGACAAGAATCCTTGCGGCGTGGTACTACATCGGTCAGGACAGCGAC